GTAGTATAACTAGTTTAAGCACTTTCTGGATAAGAACTTCACAATCTAGTCGTACTGTGGTGTTCTTGATGATTCCGTATATACTTGTAAACAAACTGAAGTTATCCTCGTCGCCAATATAATACAACTGAATATAAATAAACAACTACCACAATAAGATGACTGCTCCGCATAACTTTTAATTTTCGACTCCCAGAATATATTCTAGAGGGCGTTGTCATGATCAATATATTACAGTCACGACCCCTTTAGTAATTTACCGGCATATATATTTACTACTGTACTGGCTTTATATGTGAACGCAACGTTCGTACAATTTATACACTAATGTATACATAATGAACTCTAAAGAAGCTAAACTTTACTCTGTAACCAGAGGATTACAACAGGCTGCATACTGCCTCTATATGCCAGATCTAGAAATTAAGGCTGGCGACAAAATCCTGGACGTCGGGTGTGGAACCGGTGATCTTGTGAATAAGTTTGGTGATATTGCTCAGTCAGTAATTGGTAAGTTAACGTTCCACAGTCACACCAGGGTTGCCATTTGGCCTTTTTGACGGCCAGATTCCTCAAATCCGGCCGTCTAAAAATTTGCCTGGCCGTAACGTTTGAAAAGTCACGGCCAAGCTATATTTGGCCGAATTTTTGAAAAACTTTACATTTTTTTTTCAATATATTATGCCTAACGTAGACTTGTTTTGAATAGGCCCTATGTTTTTGTTATTCTATATTTGATTCTAATCATGTGTTTGTACTTGCACTAAACACTTAGCCTAATCTATGTTCCCCTTTAGCCGATTTGACGTAAGAGAGTTTATTTAAAAGATAACAGTTTACATTTAATAATTTAAATTGTTTGGATGAAATATAATTTTTTATATGAAGTTTATCCTCGTTTAAATCTTTATGAAGACAGTTCAATGTAAGTTTGTAGGCCTACCATATATTATGTCATGAGGAAACTTCACCATTTACCAAATTTTACAATTTTGAACAAGGCTTTGCTGATCTCTTCTTATCTCTATTAATTACTGCTTCAGGGAATTTTGTAACAAGATTAACAGTGAGGCTCATTAGTTGTAAATAGTTCATAAGAAGACTAGCACAATTAAATCAAAAACCATGTTGTAACTTCTAACATAAGTCATTGATTTTTAAAATTCAAAAGCATATCTATTATGATTTTTATCTGAAGTTATAGCTAAGGTAATAAAAATGCCAAATTATTTTGAACAACAGGTTTTTAAAATTTTCCAGCCTGGTTTTTAAATACTATACTGGTAATATTATTTATTGAGAAACAGCAATGCCTGCTGTGATAATGACTCTTAAGTAGAGGTATTTTTCTTTGATGTTTAATTGGATTATTGAGATAAGATTCTGGCAAAACCTGGTTCACCAACCCGCCTGAATGCACTTTTAAAGGGTTTGCTGGTAAATGGGATAGTAACAGCATGGTGTCTTTGTATATGTTCTATCGTAGTGTAGGTTCTATCTCTTTTGAATATAAATTAAATACTGTACCTTAATTAATCTATTATTGCCCGCTTAAATTGTATAGGCCTATGTGCTGCAGTGTTCTTTATGTAGAGTGCCATATAAATGCTCGATGTGATCATTCGGGTCCAGTGGCACCTCCAATTTCAAGCAAGCGTTGCAGAGACTTCTTCGAAGTTACTCTGGAGTTCGGTTGTATATGAGAATGAAGAAGATAATTCTGATCAACATTGATTTATTGCTTTAAAGTACAAATAACATTCAGAGGCGAATTTAGAAAGTTTAGATCAAAAGTATTTATTAAAGTTTTCATATATGTTTGTTTTAATGCCAGTTTGTGTTACCTAACTATATGTAACTTAATTTATTCCAATTAAAGAGATCACGGATTTGCCAATAACAGGCCCTTAAAATTTTTGCTATAGATCGACTACAATGTACCTTAATATTTAATACATTTAAATCAAATTTAGATCAATCTTAATAATGTGATTTTAAATAACAGAAGCGGATTTACGGGGAGGGGTGAAAAAAAAGAGAAAAAATTGATCGCCCAAACGCATCAGAGGTTATTTTTGGGCGTCTAGAAAACAAAAATTTCCTCTAAGATGGTGTTATCTCGATCGGCTCCACTTTCGCCCTCTCCTCCCCGCCTTTTTTTCAGCCCCGACCCTCCCTCTTTCGGATATCTCTGGATTCACCCCTGAATTGACCTACATGTCAGCAACTAAAGAATATATGGCTATTTAATATTATGATGTAGCTTAATTAAAAGAAGAAAAACAGTGAAAGTTTAACATTGTTCTGTGTATATCATTTGAATTTCTTAAACTTCTAATAAATGACCGCAGATTTTCGTGTAATTTTTGTAGTATTTCAAATGAATATGGACCCACTGTTGTCTTCTAATCGGATTAAAATCTGGCCGAATTTTGGTCTATATTTAAAAAAAAAGTGAGTGTGTTTGGCCGTGAAGCCTGTCGACTATCTGGCAACCTTGAGTCACACAGCTTAAACGACTGGCCTTGACCGAAACCACCATACGATCTAACATTTGTAAATATACCAACAAACCTATTGGATAGAATGAAGCAACTAAACAGCTGACCTCCGTGCCCTTTGATGATTATAGATATACCATAATATACCTCTACAAAATACAATTACCACAACAATTATGTATTGAATTATTTTTATTGGTAAGAATGAGTTACTTATATAATATATATATATACTTATATAATATATTTTCAAACTGCCAGGGAATGCCATTGGCCTCAGTAACTTTGGTATGTAACTTTTCAACATACCTTGGCTAGCTGCATGCATTGCTGCATCAATCCTTAAATCATGTCCTTTTGTACTTCGTTGGATCTAACCCAATGAAGGAGATGGTTTCCATTAGCCGTTTGGAAATATATTATGGGGACACTAGTTGTTTATGCAGCATGAAAGGCTACTAAGAGAAAAGCCTTAAGCAGTATCCTTTTAACTAAAAGTTCCACTTTAATTGCAGTTGACAGGATTTTATGTAAAATATATCTAAGGTGGTGGGGATCTTTTGTGCCACCAAATGTACCCCTTTTAGTGACACTTTTCAACCAAATTGCTTCCTATTTATAGCCTACCTTTGTTTAAAAAGATTTGATTTTTCTCTTTTGTTGAAATTCAGTTATTTAATTTGGTCAATAAATGTATTTTTTTAAATTGAATTTTAAATTATATTGTCTACTTCTATGCCAAAAATTGTAAGGCAAATCGTTGGCAGTACCTTTCTTTTTCATTAACTTCCAAACTTTATGGAAATTCAAATATAAAATTTGTAGTGTAAAGTTTTAATACATTAATAATGTTTTTATTTATCTTTATGGTATTTGTCTAATATTTTAGCATTCTACAATTATTCAAATTGATAAAGGGACTTGCCCCACTCCCTGTAAAAATTACTTTCAATTAATAATTCCCTTTAATGATAGTAATTTGAATGAAAACAGTCATATTCATAAATTTCCCATAATATTATATGAAGTATGGTACTCATACACAGCATAGTACATTGTAACAGCTCGGACACAGCTCTCAACTAATACTCTGAAGTTAAAATTTTTTGACCTATCATAGTACACTGTGCACATTAAAATTAAACTCGCATATATTCTGTTGTCTTATCCAAATAGACTAAACCGAAGTCGGGCTATTACATTAACAACTCAATTCATCATGTTATGACCCTAAGGGCGCACCATACATAATGCTTTTTTTTTAGCATGACAAACCCGACGACCGAAATGATCAACACCTTAATTAAGTCTGGAGGTGTGCTTTCCTGGCTTCTCTTCCCTTTTGATTTGGTTGTTGTTTGACCCATTTATCAGTATCCGACAACAACCTACACAAACGAGACAGTACGCGTGATTAATTAGTACAGTAGTAATCTGCATCAATAAATTTTTCAAAATCAAAAATTCTCAACCAACAAGTTCTATTCAGAACTATCTACGTGGTGTACTGCAAGGATTAATATATGATTTTTCAAATTGTATGAGGTGTAATTTCTGGCCATTTGGAGGTGCCATAATCATAAATTTTCTTCCCTCAGCCCCTACCATGGTGGGGCTTTGGTGGTATCTCCTCCATTTGTGAAAGTCCCTCCTTGGCCCCCTTCAAATTTCTGGATCCACCACTGAAAACCGTTTAATATGCATCTTCAGAAATCGATTATACAAGCCTAAGACCTCAAATTATCAATAATGCCTGAGCTTCGCTCCCTCGATCCTAGCAGGGGTTTCCCCCTTAGAAACCCCCAGTACCCTCCAACCCGGTTTCGTTTATAACAAGAAGAATCTGGAACATATAAAAAAACAATTACAGCCCTATAGTGAACAAACTTTGAACAATATTGGTATCCTGATGATGACATAATTAATGTTGAAATATTGAATCCCAACACGATGGCGTGCATTTCATTACAACGGAGGAAGCTCTGAAATTTAGGGATTTAAGAATATCGATTTCATAATACTATAAACATTACATAAGCCTTTTAAGCATTATTAGTAACTATTTTAAACTGAAAAACAAACGCTTTGCCATATCCAGCAAGGTCTTTTAAACACTGAGTTAAAATGTCTTTGACCTAAGCCCCTGTAAACGATTAATACTTTTTTTTCATAAAAGTAATGATTATTATAGTGGTGTCACGCAATCTCAACTATTATTCAATTACAAATTACGTTATGAAAATATATTTTTTTCATGTCTGAATTCTGCTAGCCTCAGCGGAAATGACAATAAAGACCTAATGTACAATGATAACGTAACGCAAAAAGATGATGGTAGTTTACTGTCATCGGGCAGCAGATTGTATCGTATAAATATACAGTAATGTATGTACTGTATCAAGGCGTAAACCAATTTTCTCTTTATTTCATTAAGGATTTGACATTTCTAAGGAGATGATAGACGTTGCCAGGAAAAAATATCAATGTTGCAGATGTAGTGAATTGTGTTAAAACATTTCCAAATTGGAAAGGTGCATTTGACAAGGTTGTTTCTGTCTTCGCATTGCATTGGGTGAAGGATCGCAGAAGAGCATTTCAGAACATTTACGACTGCCTCAGACCTGGCGGGGAGTGCTTCCTTCTATACGTCGGTCCGATGAATCAAATACTTGGTCACAGTGAGGATGAACTTCCGTATTACTTGAAGAATATTAGTAAATGGAAAGAACATCTTAAAGTACGTATACATTTATTTTAATTTAAACAACTGATGATGAAAACAATGAATGACGTACAGAAATGGCTGCCTTGTGAAAGTATAAATTGTCACTGCAATCATAATTGTCGTCTCATTCACATGTAACGTTGAAAATACTCTTATCATCATCGTCGCCACTATCAACGTGGCCATTACGGGTGATTTTGAGAATGGTTAGTTATTTATATTATTATCATCATTTTACGATTATTAATGTTACCATCATCGTTATCATCAATATTATCATTTCTTTTATCATTAACCATATATATAGAGGGTGACCCTTCCAACGTATCCTCTAGAAGGTCGACGGATTCTTAAATAAATGAAAATTAAGTGATGCTTTAAAATCATTGAAGTCTATGACTGGAGACAAGGCCATTGGCTTTGGTTTCATTCATCCAAGAATAAAAACAATACCACTGTTTTGGCTTTTTTAGCCACACTTGTTGGACAGATATTATTCTCCTGATGACGACCGAACGTTAACAACAACAATTCTTCTCAGAACTATCATACGTGGTGTACCAAAAGCATTTAACTCATATTACTTCGCCATGCAAATCATCTCATCAACATCATCATTATTCTCATTGTCTCTCGATAAGGGAAGCGTTAATACTCTATGAAACCAACTCATTAGATAATTAAAAGTTATTCATTACATTTCAGGATTACGAGAACAAAATATATAGTCAAATAACTATGGAAGATAGCATAAGGTTTCTGGAATCAGTTGGCTTCGAGGTAATAACAGCAAACTTACACAAACCATGTGACGAACTTGATCTTCACAAAGACCAAATAAAAGGTAATTTGTAATGTACTTTTTATGATAATTATACTGTAGTGATATATAGACAAAAAAATTTAATATATTGACAATATACTATCAAAAAAACTCAATTGCAAAATTTCAGTTATTTAGTTAAAAATTATATTTACGGCATATATACATACAGGGGAAGGCTGGGCGGAGGTGGGAGGGGTGTGGACGCACCCGCCAAAAAGTGTCGCTAGTGTAGGCCTAATCCTCGGTCTGCCTAGTACTACATTGGAAAATTTGTAGGGTAGCAAGTAGAACTCAATTATGCCAACAAAAGTTGTCCCCCTACAAATATAAATATGATATTCCTAGTCGTAAAATAAAATAAAAACTGTGAATGAACACTACAGTAATTCGAAATAAATTATACAATCCTTCCTATTGTTTACGTGCGTATTGGGCGTACTGCATAAAACTTAAAACATAAAAACATAAATCTGCACAAGACTCCATAACATCGATGGACAGTTTATATCTTTCTAATTGAATAGGCTATTAAAATACAAAAACAATGAAAAAAAAAACCGCTTGAAATTGAAATTATTTTGGCAAATAAATATTTAAAGTTGCAATATCATACTGTATTTAGTTAAGATTTTCATGTTCGATTTGTAGAATAATTGATTATATTAAAATAAAAGTGGGATGTCCCCATACAAGACAAACTAAAACGTACAGTAATTTTTTACATTCATTTAAATGTATTTATATAGACATACAATTAAAAAAAAAACAAATAAATTAAGTTAAAAAATACATGATTGCCAACAGAAATACAGACATCTTAATATTCTTTTTAAACTTTGACACAAAAAGCAGTTAATGGGATATACATTTTTGAATACTTAAAAACTTGGGGAATATTTGAAAAAAAGGGGTAGATCGTTGGAATATTTTATTGAAGTTTGCCTCAAGCTCAGTCCGAGCAAAAAAAAAAGTCCTTAAACAACATTTTTCTTTTTTTTTTTGTCTTTCGTGGGTGCATCCCACCTTTATTTCAACCATCATATTTTGCACAATTTGTTTTCAAAGAGTTATGTCAATATAATTTTTCCTACCAATATAATTTTTCCACAATGTATTGCGAAGTACGCAATAAATAATCCTAAGTAACATGAGGGTAATTTAGGTATGGAGATTCAACTCCACAGGTAATAAATACAGTTAATAATATTTGAGATAAAAATTATTCCCTATCGGATCGGAGCCCAAGACCTTCCAATTATTGTTGGAATACAATAAGCATTCACATAATTAAAATATATATCTACACATACTCAAACTCTCTTTATGTAAAGAAGTATACAAATAGATATTAAAATATATATATATATATATATATATATATATATATATCTATGATACAGTAAATGAACGAATCAGTGTTTGGTAGAGAGGCTATAAACCCAGAGGAGGCATAGAAGCCTCCCTTTTCACCAAGACATGTTATTTTGAAATGATAATTATAGAATAATGAAACAGAGTTAGAACAATAGCATGTAGTGATAATAAAATGGAAAACCGTAAGGTTAGGGTCCACACACGGTGCAAGTCCAAGACTATCTGTTTATCTTGGCTCTTTGTGTATGTGAGACGCATCATACCCACATTTTTCTAAAAAAATAAGAAATTAAAAAAAAAAATTAAAAAAATTAAAAATTAAAAATTAACATCCAAAGGTAATACCATTTTTTTCATTTCTTAATTACCACCACTTTTGTTCAATAAAAATAAACTAAGTGGTCACTAAAATCATTTAAACATTATACAAACACACCTTTGTCAAGGGCACAGTGCTTAAATGCCAATGGTATATTTTAACTTACGTAGATCGATTTTCGACCATTTTTTTTTTGCTTTTTTTTCCCGTATAGTACAGAACATATAGCATACATTACCAGTACTGGAGAAATGTTAGTCGAAGCAACAACCTAATGTGAATTAATAGGTTTTAAATGTTATGATGATTTTAAAAAATACATCAAATGACACCGACATTATTATTTTTTTAATTACTTTCATAATTCTGTGTAATCTCTTCAATAATACCAGTAGACATAACACATGCAACAGTAATAATTAGAAAAGAGTACAAAAAATTGTCTTCTTTTGATTGATAGTTTTAACCGTATTTAATAATTTGTTTTATATAATATAATAAAAATGAAACCAACTAGTCACTGAGAGGACCCCTGCTGGCCCGCCCCATCCTCCTAAATTGTCAAAAATGAAAAAACAAATTGAGATATCAAGAAAATTATATTTATATTTTAAGTCTGAGAGTACAATTTCTGGCCATCTAGAAATACCATAATCACGCATTTTCTTACCTCAGCCCCAATCCTCCATCTGTGAATACCTCCCTGGGCCCCCTCTATTTTGAATTCCTGGATCCTCCACTGATGGGTAACAAGAAATTAAGTTAAAGAGGAATGAAGCATTATTTAAAAAATATATATATCTATGATACAATGAACGAATCAGTGTTTGGTAGAGCGGCTATAAACCCAGAGGAGGCATAGAAGCCTCCCTTTTCACCAAGACATGTTATTTTGAAATGATAATTGTAGAATAATGAAACAGAATGAAGCAGAGTTAGAACAATAGCATGTAGTGATAATAAAATGGAAAACCGTAAGGTTAGGGTCCACACACGGTGCAAGTCCAAGACTATCTGTTTATCTTGGCTCTTTGTGTATGTGAGACGTATCATACCCACATTTTTCTAAAAAAAAATAAGAAATTTAAAAAAAAAAAATTTAAAAAATTTAATAAATATATATATATAATTAGTATTATTATTAATTATTAATAATTTTGATGTATTGTTTTTTTAATTTATTACAATCTATTGGTATTATTATATCATTATTATATCATCATGGTATTATTAAATTATTGCATCCCAATCGCATTAACAGATAAAAAGGTTTTTTAGCAGAAATTATTAGTTGTATGTTATTTTCTTTGCTTGGTCACAGATTATCTGCGCACACTTCTTGGTCATCTGAATTACCTACCCGAGCAATACCATGAAGGATTTCTACAAGATGCTACTGATTGGTGCAACCAAAACTTTCCCGTCAATCAACGAGGAAACCAATATATGCGACTTGAAGTAATGATGCTCCGAGCCAAAAAACACTAAATTTACTGAAGACCGGATAAATAGCCTGAGAGCCGCACATTTCACTTTTCACAATGGAGGTCTCTGTATAGGACCATACTGTACCTATATGAGTCTAAATGAAGCTTAGACTTACGACACTAAATTACTATGGCTCCATTCATTCTGAATTTGTTGGCCTGCAGAATTTTAGAAACTATTTTTGATTAATATATATTCAATATACTATATATAGAAACACGAATTTGAGTTCTTATATTTAGTAACCAAGGTCATAAAATTTATTGCACATTTCAAGAAAATATTTGTAAAAAGCACAAGCAGGTAATTTAGATGATCAACAAGTGCCTGTATGATCAAGTCAAAAAAGGAAATCATATTCTACTACCTATTGACTTATAAATCAATTTATAAATCAATTTATCAATCAATTTTTATTAAAATTATTCTGTCCAGTCCAGGGTAGATAGTGACATAATGACCATTGGCAGTATTTACTACACATATATATAATATTCTTTGTATTTAAATGTGAATTGCAAAACAAAGTAAGTGAAGAAGAACCATACATTTAAAAACCATCAACATCATAATAGTCTAAGTTATTCATGACGTAATGAAGCGTCAAGCAAATTCTCAACACAACGGTCCAATCCGTGCCGTCTACGAGAGATAGCTGGTACCGGTTTATTACCGGGTAGCTCAGACACGAAGAGACCATTAGAGGGGAAGAAAGTTACTGTGCGAGCTAATCCATACCTCGAGCGCTTTGAGACTTCGGTATAAATCGCTATATAAGTCCAACTACATTACATCACATTACATCATTATTATTATTATAATATTGTTATTGTTATAAACCAAAAGCAGCACATTTCCCGCCACACTTGGAACTATGCCACTGTTTGGCTTTCCCTTCACTAATCTAGAAACTGCCACTGTCTTGGCTTCCAAGCCACGCCCCACCCTCATGCACAGACTGTGAATACTGGCTTTTGTATTAGCCTTTTATAGTCTCAGTTATTATTTAGTTTTCCACCAATTAGCAGAAAACTCTCACTATCCAAACATATAACTATTTCCCTGTTTGGAATCTCTGCAGATATTATTCTTCTGAAGACGATTGAAGCATCTCAATCGAAACTTCGAGACATTCTCAACCAACAACAGTTTTTTCGTGGTGTACAGCAAATATTAAATATATTAGGCAGAAGTGGCGCCAGCGGGGGGGGGGGGAGAGCAGAGTCCCCATCCCGTCGGGGAGAGCTCCCCCCCCCCACCGTCGGGGAGAAAAAGCACAATTCGTCGGGGAGAAAAAAAATTATATGTATTTTCTACATATTAGTAGACTCTAAAATCGATTAAATAAGCCTTTGAAATCCCTAAATTGTTAAAATTTTCGGGAGGTTCGCCCCTGGACCACTTTCCCTTTTAGATCATGTCCACTTTCGACCCCTCGTCGGGGGCATCGGACCCCCCGTCGGGGACCTCGCTACCCCCCCCCCCGTCGGGCAAATCCAGGCGCCACCCCTGATATTAGGCCTATTACTTCGCCATGCAAACCTCTTTCAAACAATATCAGATAAATTGTTATTAATATTATTACTAATTTTATTATCGTTTTTATCATCAATTACTAATATTGCTAATATTAAATATATTGTTATTAATATTATTATTACTACTATTATTATAGTCACTATCATTTGTCCACAAGACAATGTAAGACAGGGCCCAGATGGACTGTACACCGTTCGGCAACCTATAGGTTGCGAACCAATGCATGTATCTTTAAAAAATTGGGTCGCATAATCTCTTCAGACCGTTGAAAATTTACTTGATACGAAATGACGACAAACGGAATAAAAATTATAATATAAAAAAAGACGTGCGTGCATAAAAGTGTGGCATATGTGTGTGTCAGTTTATTTTTGTAAGTCGGGCGTTATCAATAGTTTCATGTTCAATAATATACTGTCAAAACTTTTATACTTCAGGTATGACAATATGAAACTTTCAGTTTTGTCTAATTCAATGTGTTGGGCTTTCAGATGAAAATTATAACGACAATAATGTTTTCGTCAATTCAATGTGTTTTCCAATAACCCATATATTTCTGGCAGCAAATTTAAAAATTGTTTTACTAAAACGTTTGTAAATCATTGATTTATTATTTTTTTTCGATCTGTAACATATTGCAAGATTTGATAACTTATATGGTTCGGTTATATGATTAATTAAAAGATTAATTTATTTTATTTTTATTTAAATTTGGGTGACATGTAGACACTTTTACGTATGAATTGGTATCGTTTAATTTTTGACAAAAGAATCAAGTTTTGTTCTCCGCTATCCCTCGCACGTAAATAATATAATTATAAATAAATAAGATTTGTATAACGCTAAAATCCATTAAAAAAAATGCTTAAGGCGCTGGAGACAATAAAGAGTGGAAAAAATCGAAGTAGGCCAATAAAACGACGGACGTGACTTATTGACATATAATCACTCAAACTCAACAAAATAATACCATATTCAATGATTTTCTTATGAAATTCAGCTGATAAATTTAGCCTTCGGGTCCGATGGATCGCGTCTGAGTGCTCAATTTTAATTTGGGTTGTGGGCTAAAACGGTTGCGGAACGGGGACTTGTACATTGCGGGGTGACTCCCATATTCTTTCTGAAGAATGCAGTTCTTTAAACTGCACACGAACCAATTGTGTACACTGGGTTTACGGTTTAGAGTCCTCAATTTATCCAAGAAGACTTGGATCAGTAACAAAAACCCCAAGCGTGATATTGAAACCAGCGATGCCAATAATAAGGCTGAAAAGGTAGCGGCGCCCTTGCCGTACAGCTCACTAGTCATACCACAGTAGGCCTATTTTGGTTATAGACATGCCTATTCTACTGTTTGTTGTGATATTTGAAAAAAAAAAAAAAAAAAAAAAAAAAAAAAAAAAAAAAAAAAAACGCCAACCTAATGACCTCAAATTTACAAGTATCGTTAAAGTTATCAACTTTAAATGAGACACAAATTAAAACAATTCAGTTTATGCTGATCTTACAGACATTTTTCTACAAAAATAAATTAAATAACAGACAGCCAATTCAAATTAAAAGCAAAGCGTTTTCCAACTTGTACCGGTAACGTAGTTGTCTGACTTGTTGCAGCGTTTTATTTAGTCAATAAGATATCTGGTATTTATTAGTGTCCGCTATAAATTGTTTAGTTATGTATTCCTGAGCCATCATATAATATAAAATACAATAGTTATATCTAAGCATATAAAAGCTATGTAAACATATAAATATTATAGAGAATTAATTTCACTAGTTTACAGGTTTGTTTTCTTTTTCTTTTGTATATTTATATTTAATATCAATAAAGAATGATCGAAATATTACTGGTAAAAGGAGCTTCACCGGATACACAAAAGGTCGGACGGACCACTTTCTATTGCGATGTCCAAGCATGGAGGAAATATATCAATATTTGTGTGACTCACCGCGAGGAGTTAACTACATTACATAGGTTTACAATGTGTATGCATCAAACAAGAACAAAAACAAAGAATACCAATAAAAAAAAATAACATCGAAAGGCATTAAACCGAATCATTTTATACTCGGTAGATTTATCAGACAGAAACAATCTAACCGTATGTATTGTACTAGTGACTGAGTTGAACAATTTGTTATTTGTTTTTCAACCAGAACAGCGTTAACTCCGTTGCATATTCTGTTCGAAAGACCCTTAGCAAAGTTAAATGAAGTCCCAATATTCAAATATTCCTTGGTTCGTTTCCACCAAGTTGAAACTCAGAATTAAACAATTGTGAGACACAACGATGGTTGTGTTTGTATTATCAATTGTATATCCATCTGTGTGACGTAGCATGGGATTTATCCCATGGTTCAGTAGGGGTTATTAATGAATTTGCTATTTCTAATCATTGGCCAGGCATACAGGTCAATGACATTGTTTTATTTGATATATCATTCCATTGATTTGATGCCAGTGACTGGTCATTTATCATTTGGCTCTGACATGTCAATTGTGGGGACCAAAATGTTCAATGACCAGGACCAGTTAATGAATAAGATGAAATTGTATGGGAACCGAAAGGATGTGGTTAGAAAGGAATGTAGATCTAATGCTGGGAGGTTTCTTTATTAGTATGCTTTGAAAAGAGGAGAGGCAGTTATCACATGGACACCTAAGTGCGAATAACTCCAACCAAGTGGGACTTAGGTTGTAACCATATGTGTTCACAGAAATAACAGCCAAGTGGGACTTGGGCTTTACTTTACGTTATATGAATTTT